AATGTGCAGAGGTCAGAAGGTCTGATAATACTCTACAGCCTGTAGCACTGCAAAGTGATGTGCTGGGGTTGGCTTGTGCTGGCTCATGAGAGCCTATTGGTAAAATTTTTAGGAATTTAGGAGTTTTGCAAGCTGGTTGTTAAACAGAGCCATTATTATAAATTACATTGAATAAACTTACAATTAAGTTATAGTAAAAGCAGAAGTACTAAATATTAAAAATGTGTTACTTCCCAATTATTTCACTATTATCTGTGTTCTTGAGGTTATCTGTGCCTATTACATTTACATAGTGGAAATATTCTATAATAGTGTGCTGAGAGCCTCTTCTATCTCCGTATTTGGTGACATTAGCCTGAAATCAGTGATTGTGGGAATATTTACACCACTAAAATTGGCAAACGCTATGAATCAGGGCCTTTTTTTATCTGGAAACCCAGTTGTTAAGCATCTACAACCCACTACTGCCTAGAGCCACAACCCCTGTCCTGTCTTGTGACACCGTTGCATTTCCTACTCTGGTTTTAGCTGTTTCTTTATGCACTTACCCCATATTTCTTAATTACATGCTTTTACCACTGCGTCTTGATTTTCAAATATTAGACATGGCCTATTGGCTCCCTATTATGGAAAATGAGGCTCTAGCTTTTTTCCAGCTCTGTCTCTCTTCTTACTACACACACATGCACACTTTCCTTGCCTCTGTCTTCCAAGTACAGCATAGCACAGTTCTTGCTTAAGATATAAATATTTGGCCAGGCACGGTGGCTCAAGCCTATAATCCCAGGACTTTGGGAGGCCTAGACGGGCGGATCATGAGGTCAGGAGATCTTGGCTAACACGGTGAAACCCCGTCTGTACTAAAAAGTACAAAAAACTAGCCAGGCGAGGTGGCGGCGCCTGTAGTCCCAGCTACTGGGGAGGCTGAGGCAGGAGAATGGCATAAACCTGGGAGGCGGAGCTTGCAGTGAGCTGAGATCCGGCCACTGCACTCCAGCCTGGGAGACAGAGCGAGACTCCGTCTCAAAAAAAAAAAAGATATAAATATCTTATTTTTTACATTATTACAATCATGTAAATATTGTACATAAAGCATTAAGCACTGTGATCACATTAGTTTTTTTTTTTTTTTTTTTGAGACCGAGTCTCACTCAGTTATCCAGGCTGGAAGAGACTGGCATGATCATGACTTATTGTAGCCTAGGCCTCCTGGGCTCAAGTGATCTTCCCACCTCAGCCTCCCAAGTAGCTGGGACTATAGGTGTGTGCCACTACGCCCAGCTAACTTTTTTGCTGTATTTTTTGTAGAGGTGAAATTTTGCCATGTTTCCCAGGCTGGTCTCGAACTCCTGGGCTTAAACGATCCACCTGCCTCAGCCTCCCAAAGTGCTGGGATTACAGGTGTGAGCCACTGTGCCCAGCCTACGTTAGCTTTCTCAGACAACATTTTTTCTTGGAGGTAATAATTGCATTTTTAAATTTGCTTGATGTCTCTATAGAAAAGTGGTTTTCAAACTTTTTTTTTAAGCAATGGAGCTCATCAGTCTCTCGAAAGACTTGTCTCCTTCCTGAGTGCAGGACTGTGGCCACTCCCCCTTCTAAATAGGCTCCTCTATGTTCAGAATAGGTTCCGGTGATGTTGCCTAACCTGCCCCTCCTGTGTATCACCCATGGGCTGCTGGCTAGAAGCTCCTGTTATCTGATGGCCACCTATTGACTGGTTTGGTGCCTCTCAGATTTGCCTGGGCTGGGCTGGCTGCCAAACACTTAATGCAGACAGCCTTGCTCAGGGAGCACTCCAATGCAGCTTTTGAGATCAGACGGAAGGAATGACTCTGGCAGAGAGTAAGTGAGCTGTGGAAGCAGATGATATAGGGCCTATCCGCCCATGAAAAGTCTGAGCTGCAGGAGGGGAGCTGGCCAACAGTGACCAGTAGGGTTCAAGAACACTCGCTTTTGAGAATCACACCTGTGTGGAAGTCCCAGCTGTGCTTTCAGCTGCTTGACCTTGGGCAAGTAGCTTAACCTCTCTGGGCCTTAATTTTCTCATATCTAATTAACAGGGTTGTTTCCAGAGTTAAAGATAATGTGTGTAACCCTAATAAATCTCAGAGTCACATGTGACCCAGCCTCTGCTTAGAGTCTCATTTTTAAAAAATCATCTTCAGCTGAGAGCAATGGCTCACGGCTTTGGAAGGCCAAAGCAGGTGGATCACCTGAGGTCAGGAGTTCAAGACCAGCCTGGCCAATACACAGAAACCCCATCTCTACTAAAAATATAAAAATTAGCTGGGCGTGATGGTTGATGCCTGTAGTCCCAGCTACTCAGGAGGCTGAGACAGGAGAATCGCTTAAACCCGGGAGGTGGAGGTTTCAGTGAGCCAAGATCATGCCACTGCACTCCAGCCTAGGCGACAGAATGAGACTCTGTCTCAAAAAATAAATAAGTAAATAAAAGTTAATGTTAAAATTTTAAAACTTTCTTTTTTATTTTATTTTTTTTTGAGACAGAGTCTCACTCTGTCACCCAGGCTGGAGCTCAGTGGTGCGATCTCAGCTCCCTGCAATCCTCGCCTCCCAGGTTCAAGCGATTCTTGCGGCTCAGCCTCCCGAGTAGCTGGGATTACAGGTGCCCACCGCCATGCCTGGCTAATTTTTGTATTTTTAGTAGAGACTGGATTTCTCCATGTTGGCCAGGCTGGTCTCAAACTCCTGACCTCAGGTGATCCATCTGCCTCAGTCTCTCAAAGTACTGGGATTACAGGAATGAGCCACCGTGCCTGGCCTAAAAAATTATATTCTAACAGCCCAAAAGTAATTTAAAATATATGCCAAACCTGATTACATCTTTCATAGAATATTGAAAGAGTATTCAATATTCATAGAATATTCAGTATTCATACAATATTGATATCATAACTGATATCAACACTCTCCAAATCCTTTTTCTCTATCCTCTAATTTTCCACAACATACAACATCAGTGAAGTTCTCCTGGGTCCAGCCTCTGAGGCTTTTTTCCCCTCTCTTTCTCTGCCTCATTCTGCATCTTCCTTACCACTGCCATTTTCTCCAGTCCTGTTTTTTCCTCTACCCATCCTGCCATGGCTCTGTTGCAAAAGATCAAACGATCTGGAAATGAGCCGATAGAGATGCAGGCAGGAAGTGGTGGGGAAGAGGTCATGGCAGGACACACACTCTGAAATAACTCTTCTTCATCTCACTGGGAAGTGCTAGGCATGTGCAGTAGCAAGGACTTGGCAGAAATTGGTTCTCTTCCTCCTTCTTATTCTGATGAGGAATCTGAAGGAGAGAGCGGTATGACCTCCTAGACCTCCCTCTTTTCTGACCACCTACCCACTGTTAGCAGATGGACAGTAACTGGAGAAACCTCCTTGCTTCCTCTCCTTCAAACTCCCCAAAAAAGTAGCAATGAAAAAGACCTGAGAGATGGAAGCATAGCTTCTGCCTATTCCCCCTCCCTTCTCTGCCACCTTTGTAGCCGCTAAACATGGAACAGCTCTTCCACACCCATCCACACCGCTTGTTCCATCCTTTTGTGGACTCACCCCTCCCAGGAAGTCATGGACTGAGCACCCACTGGGTACCAGGCCTGTAAGGGGCTGGAGATTCAGAGACGAGGATGACACAGACTCTGTCCTCAGTTGCTCACAGGCAAACAGAACCAAACTGCAAATCAGATCTGGTTGTGGTTTTGTTTGTTTGTTTTGAGACAGAGTCTCGCTCTGTCACCCAGGCTGGAGTGCAGTGGCACAATCTCGGCTCACTGCAACCTCCACCTCCTGGGTTCAAGCGATTCTCCTGTCTCAGCCTCCTGAGTAGCTGGGATTACAGGCGTGTGTCACCACGTCTGGCTAATTTTTGTATTTTTAGTAGAGATGGGGTTTCTCCATATTGGCCAGGCTGGGCCCAAACTCCTGACCTCAGGTATTCTGCCCGCCTTGGCCTCCCAAAGTGCTGGGATTACAGGCATGAGCCACCGCACTCGGCTTGGTTGTGTTATGGAGGGAAGCACAGAATGCTGTGAGAGCACAGAGGAAGAGATCTTCACCCACTAAGGTATCAGGGAGGACTTTCTGGAGGAGGTGTCATCTAAGCTGTACAATAATAAGTGCTGTCATATATTGAGCATTTACTGATATTCTCTTCACTAAGTGCTTTGCTGTGCATATTGGCTCACATAATCTTCACAACAATGCTAAAAAGTAGACATCACTATTCTCATTTTAGAGAGAGGAAACTGAGGCTCAGAGAAGTTCATTAACTTTCTAAGGCCACAACTTTCACTGCTAAAAGGTAGCAGAACTGTGATTCAAACACAGGCCTGTGTGACTCTGAAGCCTATGCTTTCAACCACAGGGTACTGTATACCGGTGTTGAAGATGTACACTGCACAAGGATGCTCGTTCATATCGTGGAGAGAATGGCTTGTGTAAGAGTGTATAGGCGGACCCAGAGATTCAGGCCTCTCCGCTGACTCCCGGAGCAGCAGGAAAGAGCCTCCTCCTGATCCAAACCTGACTCTGCCCTGGGGGAAGCAGGGAGTGTGGGCCCCAGGGAGAGTAGGTGCACCCCAGCATCTGGGTGTGCGTGAACGGGGCAGAACGTGGGCCTGTGTGTGTGCCACCAGGTCTACTGCCCGTCAGGCTTTGGTCATTCCAGCTTAACTTTAAACACTTTTACTTCGTGCAGGGGCACCTTTTTCTCATTTGCAGAGGTGTGTATGAACGAGCAGCAGCCTGCCCCACCACGGCTGTGCGGCCTCCCTGCACCGTTCAGTATTGGGGAGGACACAGCCACAGAGCAATGTGGCCCCGCCTGACTTGGCCCATCAGGGCCCAAAGACAAAGATAAAACACAGGTGATTCCTCCAGGACATTCCAGTCCAGTTGAGAGGCCCAGAAAAAAGGCACTCCATTCAAGGCCACCCCAGGGCCATCAAACTAATCTCCTTCTCTCTCTCTCTTTCTCCTCTCCAGACAGGCAGGATTGAGCCCAACTACCCCAAGGTCTGCGGCCACCAGGGCAATGTGCTGGATATCAAATGGAACCCCTTCATCGACAACATCATTGCCTCGTGCTCAGAGGACACGTCGGTGAGCGGAGGGGTGCTTCTGGAGGAGGGGGGGCTCAGGCCCTTCCCTGCTTCCTCGGGAGGCCTCTCTTCCTCTCCTCCCCTCCTCCTTCGCCCTTTGCCCTTCTTTTCCTCCTCTTTGTCATCCTTCCAGCAAGCCCTACGATGGGGATGGGATGGGAGCTAGGAAAGAACCAAGGGAAAAAATCTGTGCTGGATTCCACAGATCTGTGTTTTCAGTGTGATTGAGCTTGGAGGTGTTGCTTTTGTAGGTGAGAATTAGAATTTAAAAATTAAGGGTGTGATTCAGCATTCGTCTATGCTCTCTAAAGAAGGGCAAGGGAAAGAATATGAACAAGGAGGGAGGGAGAAAAGGAAGGAACTGGATGGGCGTGAGGAAAGGAGCACCTGTTCTTTGCAGCCTGGGCAGGGTAAATGTACCCTCTGGTTTGTCCTCTCTGAGTCGTGGTTTCTAGGAAAGGAGACTTAGCTGAGAGAAGAGTCCTGACTTTTCCAAGGACCCACACTGGTGACCCAAAATTTGAACTCCATGTGTCCCAGCATTCAATGAGAAGAGAGAAGAAACAGGAGAAGGGAGATAAGTAAGAGAGATCAGGGAGGAGACAAAGAGAACAGGGAGAGAAGAGATAGGAGAAATGGAGACGGGAGGGAAAGGGGGAAAGAGATAATTTAGAGAGGAGGATAAGGAATCCAGGGAAAGTGGCCTGGGCACAGTGGGTTCATGCCTGTAATCCCAATGCTTTGGGAGGCCAAGGCAGGAGGCTCACTTGAGGCTAGGAGTTTGAGACAGCCTGGGCAACATAGTGAGACCCCCATCTCTACAAAAAAATTGAATTAAAAAAAAAAAAAACTAGCTGAGTGTGGTGGTGCACACCTGTAGCCCCAGCTACTAGGAAGGCTGAGGTGGGAGAATCACTTGAGCCTGGAAGGTCAAGGCCGCAGTGAGCTGCGATTGCACCACTGCACTCCAACTTGGGTGACAGAATGAGACCCTGTCTCAAAAAAAAAAAGAGTTCGAGCATGGTGGCACATGCCTATAATCCCAGCACTCTGGGAGGCTGAGGCAGGTGGATCATTTGAGGTCAGAAGTTCAAGACCAGCTTGGCCAACATGGTGAAACCCCATCTCTACTAAAAATACAAAAATTAGCCAGGCGTGTTGGCCTACCCCTGTAATCCCAGCTACTCGGAAGGCTGAGGCAGGAGAATCACTTGAACCTGGAAGGCGCAGGTTGCAGTGAGCTGAGATTGCACCACTGCACTCCATGCATTCCAGCCTGGGCGACAGAGCAAGACTGCCTCAAAAAA